AACACAATGGTGTTTCATACAGTACAGTTTCATACAGAAGGGACACAATCATGATATGACGGTAGATTTTTCGCTTCCCTTCCTCATCCTCCCTTCCTCTCTCCACTGCCCTCCAGCTGCCACTGCAGCACCATGTGGAATGAACGGAAGTGTGCTAAGCAGGTGTTTATATAGCCCTAAGAGTGTTATCACAACTATCCTGCTACAAAACATTGATATCTCAAATCCTGTAAGCTACCCGATTTGTTAGCGGTTTGTTTATCCCATGAGCTTCCTTCTCACTCACTTCATTTTGCGGACGGACACACATACATACACACACACACTCACACACACACATACAGATACAATCCAAAAGAGACACACAAAGTAATCAGACGGCTTTATATACATAGAAGGATTCTTTGTCAGCTCAGTCCATCAGTCTCGGTTCTGAATGCTAACCTTAACATTACCCCATTAACATACATCCGTTATTGTGGCTCTAACCAGTCGCCCGACCCCATTGAGCCCCTGCCACCGTTTCACTAACCTTCTAAACAACCTCTTGGAACACTAAATATTAAGCTGTTGTTTGAAGGATATCCGGCGGATTAAAAATGCCAAATTCAACATCAGCTACGACCATTATCGCGAGCGTTTCATTCATTCTAATAAAAATAGAATTTTAAGATGGGAAGCAAGCATAATCAAGCACATGTAAGCAGAAAAAATAGGGGAAAATAAAAACAATCAGCCTTCACGAAAGATCGCAGGTTCCCATTGACACTATCCTAACCAAAAATCAAGACATTTTGAAAAGCCATCAGCCCAAATAATTGACGGAAAATTTCTGGCCAACCTTTTATATCGACCTCACTTTCCTCTTGCCGATCCCCTACTGCTGATTACAACGCGCTTTCAGCTCATTCTATCTCGCCATCACATGACTTATCGACTCCTTGTTTCTTATCCCCTTTTATCTGAACACTTTTGCAAACACCTGCCTCAACATTATACACTCCACTCGCTATGAGGAGCACTGCTCTTCTTTGACTGAATTTTCCGACATTAAGTCATGTCTAAAGGTGCCAGTTTTGGAGGAAAACTTGACTGACTACTTTTCAGGTCTTCTCAATTAAGAATATTTGCTGTCTTCTCAATAGCATCTAGCGCGTGCACACCCCTATTTCATGACTTTCTCGATCTTTAGTGATGCACACTAGTTAATATCGACCCATGGACCATTTGCTCGAGCGCTCACCCGTTTCAATTTAAAATATTACACAATAGTATAACGTTGGTTTAATGCCACATCCATCCATCTAAAGTCACAACATCCGTTCAACTCGCTTCAGTGAGTTCGATTCCGGTAACTTTTCGGTCTCTACATATGAAGTAAGTAGACGATGTGGACACATCAAGCAACCAGCTCACGAGTTCGACCCTTCGTAGTCGAACTCCATATACCAGGCTCAACCTGCACTCATACTTTTAAAAAATATTACCATCCTAAAAGTCAAAGTGATCAACTTTCCTCAACTATGTAACGATATCGCACAAAGTCGTTCAATTTTAACCCACTCAAGGGACAGCACTTAATCTTAACGTATTATCACTTTCAATGAAAGCTTCTGAACCAATATAAATCAAAAACTCACATTTGTAATTTTCGCAGTGGACCTGTTGACAGCTCGCTTGGTGCTCAAACTGGTCATCTTCGCACAAAAAATTGAAGCAGAAACTACAGTTGTATATCCGTCCACCTACAAAATGTTGATGATATCATGTTATCCTTCTTGTGGTAAATGTCGTAATTGTACTGGGATCGAAAACGATAGTAAAGCTAAGGACCCGGGAGGGATATGTACAGTTATTGTATAGTTTGGCTACGCATCAATTAAGCCTTCAGCGATATGGAACGGACCAATCAGAATTCATGAATTTTACTCGGCCTATCTCGGTGCGCATCCCGTTGACCATGAGCGCTCTACCACTTTTTAGTCTCTCGCCACTTTTCCCGGCTTGTGAGCCATTTTGTGAACTTGTGAATTTCTTACTCTGGCCACACCTACTTCGATGTGTGCCCTACCTATCGGAAGCATTTGCCTTCATCGCTAATCCTTCTCAGTTTTTGGACCCGGGATAGCCGCGAATGTCAGGCGGGTGGAACCTCTCTCTATCGAGTATGGTCGAAACCTTGGACGTCGTTCCCCTCCAACTAACTTTTTTTGTAGTTCAGGCTTTCTAAGAGGTAATTTATTAGCTTTTGTAATGGGCACTACCCACTCGAAAAAAAAACTTCCCACCAGTCGGGGTGGGGCTCCATCGTATTTTCACTAAGCCACTGTACAGCTTCACCTATGTTTCGCAGTCGCTAAGCTTCTGATGTGAACCATTTCGGTATTTGGTAACCTTAGTCCACGTGAGGACTGCAACCGGACATATAAACAAGGCGCGGCGGTCCCTCGTGCAACTCTAGAACTTGCGATGGCTCCAAAATTTTGAAGGACCCTTTCACTGTCTCATTTGTATAGAAAGAAGACGCAAAACAGAAAGAGAGTACTGGTTGGACTCACCATGATCCCACACTCCTCGCTTACATTCCACGCACTCGGCATTCCGGAGCGGACACGAGCAAGCATGAGTGGTGAGGCACTTCTTTCCGTGACATATGAAAGCTTCACAAAAGTCGCAAACAGCACCAACCATTCCCATGCCTAAACGCTCAGATCTCTGTATTGGCTGAAAACCAAGTTCATGGCTATTTTATCTACACTTTTTGTTCCTTTAGCTGAGGATAAAATCTCTTGGAGACTGTTATTGTAGCAAACTGGGCTTAAAACGAAATGAAAGGGGTAAGCGCCATGGAAGGTAATGAAAGGAGCAAAGTGTGCAAACTCTCATCCCTTTTGAAAACCACGGCCCAGCGTCCTCCGCGTCTAATGATGCGGTGCCAAGCTAGAACAATAGATATCACCTAAAGGTAGAGAAAGATGCCACCAGCTCGTGAACAGCTTCTTGGATGTCCACACTAGGACGCAATTGTCACAGGCGGAAACGACTAAAGACTGCTCTACGTAACCAGCAGCAGGAATTCTCAGGAGGTCCCGCCGTTGGAAGAGGAGAAGTCCCAAAAGACGAAATCTACGAGAAAAGATCGCAT